GAAGTTGAACATGGGGCATGATATGCAGTGGATGGCAGGACTTTTACAATGTACTTAAAACAGGGAGTACAAGTTAAATTGTACATTCAAAATTGTGAAATTTTCCAAAGTGCTGTCTCACAGTGTTGACAGCACAATTGCATAAGTGGAGACTAGAATTAATTGGATTTTATTCTAGAAAAAAATAAGAAGTATTAGAAAATGCTGTTGTATGTTCTAAAGCCAACTACTACTTATAAGATCTACATAAACAATTGGAAGGAATTCATGAAAAATCTGGTACCCGCTATTTACTCTACAAGTTAAGAAGTAGTCTTTCCATCCAGGTCTTTGTTATTTTATTCTTAAATATATATATTCAAAGTTTTAAAAAAGCAGGGTTTTATGGAAGTAAAAAATATTACTAAGTCCAAAGCAACAAACAACAAAGAAAGAAAGAAAATAGAAACAATATAAGAGCAGAAATAAATACAAATATAAAAAAAGTAAAATCCTTCATACTTTCGACATGTTGTTAGGATGGACCAATATCTGGGAAAGGACATCATGCTTGGAAAAGTGGAGGGTCATCTAAAAAGAGGAAGTACTCCAAGAAGATATATAGACACAGTGAAATCAACAATAGGGTCAAACATAACAACAATTGTGAGGATGGCATAGGACTTGGCAGGATTTTGTTCTGTTGTTCATAAGGTCACTATGAGTGGGAACCAATTCTATGGCACTTAACAGCAACAATAAAAACAAGAAAACAAAAAAGTAAGAATTGATAGTAAATGACACCAACATCTCACCCCTCCCACCTCACCAAAAAAAGAGAGAAAATAGTGTTATTAAAAAAAGGAAAAATGGAGAATAAGAAAGAACTCTTGGAAAAAGATGATCATCAACATCAGGATATGAGGATAAAGCCACAAAAGTAGAATAGCATGATATAAGAGTCAACACTTCTAGTCCTGAGAAAATCCATAAGGTTGGGAGTACATAAGAAAATGGAGTTCTTTTAAAAATCTTTATACTACAACTAAATTCCTGTATTGAACTATATGCATTTATCTATTTTTCACTTATGACTTTACAACTTGTCCAAGAGATAATAATTTAGTAATCAATATGATAGATAATCTTAGTTTCTATTTAAAGCACTCCCTGCCTTAATAATCTAGAAAATTGTTCCAAATTGCATTAATTTGCTATAGTTTACTAATTTTTTATAGTTATCAACACTAACATTATAGTTATAAAACTATTAAAGTTATGATATTATCAGCAGGAGAATATTGTGAAGAAATTATGTTGTAGAATGGTAAATAATTTTTCATATACTTGTTAAATTTTCTTATACAAATTGTATAATGCATACTGTTTTAGGAGTAGAATAGTTACTTTACAACACTAACCAGAGATAAGTAGCTGTGTTCAGCTTAGGTGGATTTAGAAGATATATTTAAATGTAATATTTGAGCAGTTGGTTTGTAATATTTGAATTTATAATCTATGGCCTCTCAAGTTTAGTTATCATCCAAACTTTTGTATGAGTTCAAACATTTTATTCAAAATCTCTTTAAAAATTATGTGTACACTCTGTATTTATTTGCAAATCTGACTTTTCATGTTGCCTTGGAGCTCCTCAAGGGTGGTGGACTTCCTTTAGTCCATATTCTAAGCCCAAAGCATAGCATCTATCTCAAAGAATGCATTCAATACATGTCTATTCAACCTATGGATGAAAACAATCAGCTCTTAAACATGAATTCATGAAGTGCATCAAACCAAACAAAGTGTACAAGTGCTTTATATACAACTGAGTAGAGAAAGAGAAAGAATTGAAATATAAATCAAGTAGACCTTATAAGACAAATGAAGTGAATATCAATTATTGCAGTAAAGTGAAATTTCGGATGAATTGGAGCAAATTCTTTGCATAACTTAGATTCTATCAGTCAGACTACTTAGGATTTTAAAAATATCTTAAATGGAATTAAGGATAAAATAATGAAGTTAGAATGCCTGATGGCCCACTACGCATCATCTTTGCTTATAATGCATATATATATATATATATATATTGTTATGGATTACAACTCAATATAAAGAACACAAAGAATTATCACAACTAGACAATAAGCAACATCAAGATAAACAGAGAAAATATTGAAATTGTGAAGCATTTCATTTCACTTAATCCACAATCAATGCTCATGGAAGCAGCAGTCAAGAAATCAAACCACATACTGCTTTGGGGAAATCTGCAAAAGATCTCTTTAAAGTGTTAAAGAGCAAAGACGTTACTTTGAGGATGAAGGCACACATAACACAACCCATGCTATTCTTTCATTGCCTCATATACATGTAAAAGCTGGACAATGGATAAGGAAGAGTGGAAAAGAACTGATGCATCTGAATTATGGTGTTGACAAATAATATAGAACATACCATGGATTCTCAATGTAACAAACATGTCTTGAAAGACTTACAACCAGATGCTCCTTAGGTGTGAGGATGATGACATTCAATCTTTGTACTTTGAACACACTATCAAGAGGAAAATGTCCTTGGAAAAGGATACCATGCTTGGTAAAGTACAGGATCAGAGAAAAGAGAAAGACCCTCAAAGAGACAGATTGACACAGTGTCTGCAACAATGGGCTTGAATATAGCAACAATTATGAAGATGGTGTAGGACTGGGCAGGTTTCATTCTCTTGTATGTAGGTTCACTATTATTTGTTTTCCAACTTGACACCAACTTTCAATAAAACATA